TTGCTGACCGACTCATAAGATCACTTCTGCTTCTAGAGGGAAGAATTTGCTTTCCACTGAATTGTGGTTAACTATTTTTGCATGTGGGTCACCTCTCTAAATGCAAAGAAGCAGTCTGACAAGCGTAGTAATATTTTAAAATGTCAACTGACTCAATTTCCTGAAAAATCTGGCAGAGTAGTTAAGGTAGAGTATGAGATGGAAAATAGAAAGATTCTACCCAATCTTAAATGTATGTTCTGTAACTGCACTGAAACTTTATTCTTTCCCATCTGCTCTGCAAATCTGCACCATGTTCTGGGATGGTCATGCAATTCCCTTAGCATGGTTATTTCAACAACATAAAGACTTATAGGTAAGAAAAGAGGTCCAATTTAAAAAACGCAGTCAAATATCAAATACCACCCAGTAGAGAGAGACAGATGTGCAAGGACAGGAAGATAGGAATATGTGGTAGATTTTCAATCATTGGCAATTTTGAACTCAAGAGTGGATGTTTGTCTAAAAGATATGATCAGGTTTAAATAAATAGGAATTAATTCAGGGAAGTTCTATGGCCTGTTATACAGGAGGTCAGATGAAATGATCACAGTGGCCTCTGATCTGTAATCTATGAACACAAAACTGCTATTACCTGATCAAAGCAGTGGACCATCTGGCTCAGTGTTTCAAATTATTCAGAGGCAGCTGTGAACCCCCTAAAATAGGCAATTATACAATACCTTGCCCAGATCTTTCCCTCAGTTTAATTTTATTTTTAAAGCTTATGTAATGTAACTGTCAATGTTTCTGTTATCTATCAGTATCTAGGGTTGTGAACGACTAGTCGACACACCAGTCGACTAGTCATTCCCCCTCCCTCTTGCTGCCTCTATCAGAAAGAGGCAGCAAATGGGGGAGGCGAGGGTGTGCTTCAAGCGGCAGCACTACATGGATCCCAGGGCCAGACCCTGGGCTTCACGCAGTGCTGCCACTTTGAAACACCATGTGCAGCCCGGGGCCAGCAGTCCCTTGCTGGCCCCAGGCTGCACGTGGCATTTAAAAGCAGCAGTGCCGCATGGAGTCTGGGTCACATGGCGCTGCCGCTTTGAAATGTCACGGGGAGCCTGGGGCCTCTGGAGGGCTGCTTGAGTCCCTCGCTGGCCCCGTGCTCCCTGCAGCACTTTCGCCTTTGAAGTGTAGCAACAGCCCTGGACTGTTGCTACACTTCAAAGGCAAAGGTGCCCTTATTGACTAATCGAATAGTCGATGCAAATTGCATCGACTATTCGATTAGCCAATTGAACTAAATTTAGCATCCCTATCACTATTGCGTACTTTTAAAAATTATACTAAGCTTTTGTTCAAATGACACATGGCAGAGAGCTAGTTCCATGTGGTGAAAGTGCATCATGAAAAAAGTGTTTTCCCTTTTATCAGATTTAACTTTGCTGCTTTCCAATTTCATTAAATGTACCCTTGTTCTTGTTTTAAGGGAGAAAACAAACTTGTCCAATTTACTTTCTCTAGCCTATGCGCTATGTTTATTATCTCCCTTCTTACTTGTCTCATCTCTAAAGTAAACACACTTCATAAGGAAGTTTTTCCATGCTTCTATGACACCTTTTGAAGAAACGTGCACAGAACTGGGGATTCCTAAGAGAGGACAGAGATACTAACCAGATTTACGTTCTCAGTGAATGTAAGAATGCTCATCCTGGGTCAGACCACTGTTCCACCTAGCCCACAATCCTGTCTGCCAATAGTTCTGGGATTGAGAACCTGGACCCGACCCAAGGCTCAGGGCTTCCGTCCAGCATTAGGAGTCTGTGCTGGCGCCCCACCCCCCAGCCATCCCATCGCAGGACTGGAGCACACAAAATCTACTAGCTTGGGCTCCCGTAGACTTTGGTGAGCTAGGGAAATGTGGGGAAGGTCTTTCTCCTTCTCAGACAGGGGCCACACCTGTGAGGATTTTTTTGTTTTTTGTTGCTCGCTTGTGCACGGCCACTGACTGATTTTTCTGTGGGTCGGCGGCCCCCGGCCCAAAAAACATTCCCCAACCCTACAATAGTGGCTGGTACCACAACAGAGCAATTTATCTAGTGATCCACTCCCTTGTCATCTAGTCCTAGCTCCTGGCATCAGAGATTTAGAAACACCCAGAGCAATGAAGTTGCTAGAGATGGACCTGTCCTCCATGAACTATCTAATTCTTTTTGAGTTATACTTTTGGCTTTCACAACATCCTCTAGCAATGAGTTCTACAGGCTGACTGTACATTCTGCAAAGAAGTACTTCCTGATGTTTATTTTAAACCTGCTGACTACTAATTTCACTGGGTAACCCCTAGTTCTTGTGTTATATGGGGGAAAGGGGGGTAAACACTTCATTATTCACTTTCTCCACAGCATTAATGATTTCATAGCCCTCTATCTTAAACCCCTCTGTGGTTTTTCTCACTCTGCGACTTAATGGCTGAGTTGGAAAAAAAGAGAACCTACTGTTGGTTATAGTTGCCTGTGATTAATGTATATTTGTTGAAGAAAGCTGTTTGTGTATGGCACAACTTAGTTTTCTATAAGCAGTCTCATAAGAGCACTGATTTGATGTCACTTTGCATTTTACACACCAGTGACTAGGAACACCAATTCCTAAGGCAAGATTCTCCTCCTATTCCAGTTTCTCTCATTTTTATTTTTTGGTTTTCCTCTTTTGCTCCCTTTTTTCTTCCTTTCTGCACTGTCTCTTCTTTCCAGCTTCTCCTCTCTTCCCTCCCCTTCATCCTTTTTCTCAGTACGTTTCACCCTCCCACTGTCTCACATTTCCAGCTCCTCTCATCCAACACAGTGCTGTAACTTCTCCTCTCTCTTTAACCCCTTCTTTAAAAGTAAAGGTCAATACAATTCCTGGGCAAAGCTTTATAAACATGCCACACTGGACTCTCTCAAGTGGGTCGTTTTTGAACGTTTTATGGAAAAACACTGGCAGAGGGCTCTCTCCCTCATGTGCATTATTTATTAAAGGCACAAAATGTCCTGTGGGTTTTACCACTGCAGAGAAGGATACAGTCCCTGTCCTGAAGATGTTACAATCAAAACAGTCAAGGTAACCCGGTGAAAGGGAAGCTGCATGTGGCTCCTTTCCCTGTTTTTGGCTCCTTCCCCATATAGTATTTGCCACTTTGGTCAGCTCAGATGAAAACTAGAGGCATGTTTCAAAAACCTGTCAAGTTACAGCACATCTCCTCCTCAAGCGGTATAAGGAGAGCTGCATCCTCTTTCTCTTGCTCCTTTTTTCTCCTGAAGTTGAGCAATCTCACACTCCATTAATGTGGGTGGTCACTTACATATATGGGTAGGAGGAGCCCCAGTCACCATACATGTCAGTTATCACCTAGATTCACCCAATCTACAGTAAGACGGGTCACCCTTCTTGCCCTGAAACCACTAATTTTAAATAGGGTGTCATGCTCCATTCCCTATTTACCTGACACAGATGACAATACACAAAGTACAGGTGGCAGTGTCTCACATGCAGAGAGAGAGTAAAGCCAGAGGTGTCTCTCAGATACACAGGATACAGGCACCTCACCCTCACAGTAAAGGCAGAGGGATGACTCTCTTATATACACCCTAATATAGGCAGAGAGGTGTTACACTCTCTTACATACACAAACACACACTCAGTACACTTACTCTCAAGCATACATACCCCGTACAGGAGGAGAGGTGACACACACACACAGTATAGGCGGAGGGGTGACCCTCTCTTTCATACACATACAGTACAGGCAGAGGGATGACTCTCACACACTATACAGACAGAGAGGCTGACTCACTCTCTCAAACACAGCATATCCATTATAGGCAGAGGGGTGACACTCTCACACATACACCAAGTACAGGGTGACTTTCACACCAAGAACAGGTGGAGCGTTGACTCTCTCTCTCATACACACATTATACAAAATGGGGTAATACTCTCTTACATATACACCCAGTAGAACCCGAGGTGTGACACTCTCACACACAGTACAAGCAAAGGGGTGACACTTTTTCTCCCTCATGAACACAACAACAGTACAAGCGGAGGAGGGGTGACTCTCACACAAGCAGATTACAGGAGAAGTGACACGCATACACACACTGAGAATAGGCAGAGGTGGTGACTCTCCCCCCACATACAAGAGTACAGACAGAGGGGTGACTCCCACACATACACAAGTACAGGTGGAAGGGTGACACACACACACACACAGAGTACAAGCGGAGGGGTGACACACAGAGAGTGCAGGCAGAGGGGTGACATACATACACAAAGTACAGGCGGAGGGATGACACAAACGTGAGTGCAGCGGAGGGGTGACACACATTGGTACAAACGGAGGGGTGACAACATGAATACAGGCGGAGGGGTGACGCACATATTAGTACAGGCGGAAGGGTGACACAAACATGAGTACAGGTGGAGGGGTGACACTCATGCACATTAGTACAGGCAGAGGGGAGACATACACATGAGTACAGGTGGAGGGGTGGTGCACACACGCAATACAGGCGGAGGGGTGACACACGAGTACAGGTGGAGAGGCGATACACAGTACAGGCGGAGGGGTGACTCCCACGCACACAGTGCCCCGGGTGGAGGTTAGATGCCGTCCCACCTCTTCCTGCCCGGGCAGCTCTGGTGGCCCCTGTAGGGCCGGCGAGCGGGCAGCGCGCACACGTGTCTGCGCAGGGCTGGGGCAGCCGCGGCGGCACATGGAGCGGGCGAGAGGCGGCTGAGCGCAGGTTCTGGGACCTCCTCGCTCAGTCCGTCCCGGCTCCCGCAGCGGGGCGGCAAACTTGCCCCTGCAGTCGCCCCGCATGCGCCGTGCGGGCCCGGGGGAGTCGGAGAGCACGAGATTGAAAGAGCCGGCGAGGCGGGCGGGCGGCCGAGGGGAGGCGGGCGGAGGCGGTGGGAGGGAGGGAGAGCGAGCGAGAGAGGCAGGGCGCGCGCCACACAGACAAAAAGGGAGGGCGCGGAGCAAGGTGCGGGGGGAGGGGAGCGGGCCGGGGAGGGGAGCAGTGCGCCTCAGTCTCTCTCTAGAGCGAGTCCAGGGCTGCTGCCCGACTAGGCGTTCCCAGCGCCCTGCTTGCCACTGGCCCGAGCCTCCCCTCACCATGGTAGACAGGGGCCCCCTGCTGACCTCTGCCATCATCTTCTACCTGTCCATCGGGGCAGCGATCTTCGAGGTGCTGGAGGAGCCCCACTGGCGGAAGGAGACGGACAGCTACAAGCGCAAGAAAACGGAGCTGCTCCAGGAGTTTCCCTGCCTGGGCCAGGAGGGCCTGGAGAAGATCCTGCAGGTAAGGGGGGGAGGGGAGGGGAGGGAGCTGCCTCTTCTCGCCTGGCGCCGAGGGTCGCGGTTGGGACTAGGGTGGGTTGGCCGCTTGAGCCGTGTCCGTTGAGGATCTTAAAGTGTGGCTCATAATAGAGTCATCAGACTTCCCTCTGAGGCCAGGCAGCAGGAGCAACCGCAGCTGAGTCAGGGAGAGAGCTGGGGCTGGTGATTCCTTGACCCTATACGGTTACCCCTCGGAGCCAAAACTTTGAATGAAGGGCTACAGCAGTAGTGCTGCGAGTTCCCAATGGCTCATAAGCTTCCTAAATGGCTCACAAGCTTCTTTAAAACTTCCTGCCCGAGCAGGTTCCTGGCTTAGCTGGGACACCTGCCATGCACAGCAATATAGGACTTAAGTAACTCCAAGTTTGCCTCTGGCAGAGATTTATAACATGGGAGAGGGCTAGGTGGGACATGTGTTTCGAGAGCAAATCCCTTTTGAAAGTAGGGTGCACTTAAATAGAGGCGTAAGTATGCATGCCTTTAAGGAAGGGGGAGGGGAACAGCAATGGTTTTCTAACAAATTTTCATTCATGTTGTGTGTGTAGTAGTTTAACATTTGAGACTACATGAATAATTTTATTTTAACATGAGAGAGGGAAGTTTTTACAAATACTTTCCTTTAATTGGTGCATTGAATTTGAATCAACTTCCTATAAATTTCCCACATTGCAAAATCCACAGTGCTGAGGGTTTTTTCAGATATGTTTGCCAGTTGTAGCTTTCCTCGCCAATAGACGGTTTTATATCAGCAGGTGTGGCAGGGTCTTTTTTTTTCCATTTAAGATAATGGAGTGTCTTGTATCATTTTAAAACACATCTAACTGAAAGGAGTAGTTGTTTACTAGAAAGATGTGAGGTTTTCCAGCAAAGGAAGAGATGCTAGTGAAACAGAGGTTAGATTCTAATTAAACTGGTTTTCTAAAATTTCTCTTCAATCTTTACCTAGAACGTATAAAAGTTTTGTTTTTCAACTAGCAGTTAAACTGTATGTTAATTCCATTTGCCTAGGTTTCAAGAGTTTATTGACTTCTTACTCGATAAGGTATTATATGGAATTAAACTAATGAACTGTTTATTGCTGCATTACTGTAGCAACTTTTTACAACATGAAATTATCAGAACTACCAAAACTAACAGATTCTCCCCTTTTTTTAACTCCCTCTGGATACTTTTGAATATGTGAATGGACTCTGTGCGGGAATCAGGGAAACAACAGATAAAGCCAAGCAACTGATGCACTTTATCCTCTTCTTTGTTTAGCCTCATTTTGTTTTGTTTCATTGTGCTTAGTAAGTTTTACTTTGAAGAGTTTCCTTGGGATCTGTGTTTAGCTCTAATCACTTGCTCTAGGCAAAACTTAGGTTAAGGGGAGACCAATCAAAACTGTATGGTTTGCTACTCGGATGGAAAAAGTTAAGTTTGAGCTTTATTTTTATGAACCATAGTCTGTGAAGGAGTAAATACTTTACAGCTACTTAATTAGACTGAACAGATAACATAGGAAGGCACTAACAGGTGTTTCTTTGGAACCAATGCAATAATTTATACAAACTCCTTACCTTAAGAATAGAGGTGGCCAGTGGGAAATAGAGAATTTAAAAAATGGGGTTGGCCATATGTTTGTTCCCAGGAAAGAGTATGAGCCACCTGGGGTTTTGTTCTACAGCAAAATTTGCCAGCTTCTTTGAGGAAAGTTATTGATTGGATTTTTCAGTTTTTTCCTAATTATCAGTATTTATTTGGTGACAGATGAGAACTCATCTGTCAGCTTGTGGTAATGATCTTTTTGTTCCTATCTTGGGGCTTGTCTACATGGGGAAGTTAGGATAAAGTCTCTGATGTTAATTTAAAACACAATAGTTATTATACACTAATGCCCCTTGTGAATGCTTTTCTTCTGCACTGAGGGCTAGTCTGCATTACCACTGAAATGGATGTAACTTGTGTTGCTCAAAGGTGTGAAAATGACACTCCTAAATCACAACCTAAATCACATCGATTTAGCACAGTGTGGCCAGCATAGCTTCCATCTTTCATGGAAGTAGAATAATTATGCCCATAGCAGAGCATTCCTTCAGCACATGTATTCCTTCAGCACATGCATTCCTTCAGCACATGCACCAATGTAGCACGATAGTGTAGACTTGCCCTTGGAGCTCTTTGTACACCGCCAAGCCCTTACTATCCTCAAAGGGCAGGCTAGTTCTCCCAAAATGACGGGTAGTGTATCCAAGAGTCTTGACAAAAAGAACTAGGGGATACATTTCCAGATACACATGGGAGAGTGCAGAAATAGCGAGAACACAGTAACAAGAGTAGACTTTGTTATGGCAATGTTCACACTGGCACTTGGGTGAGGCTAACCTATTACATTGGTCAGTTGTGCAATGAAAAAGTACCCAATGACTACTCTTCTTTCTAGTGCTGCTCAGGAGTCCGTTATCTGTCTCTATGCCAGTTTCTATATCGGCGACTCTGACCTTTTGAGAGTTGTCCCCCTTACTCTTGTCCATACTCCTCTGCTTGTCCCCCCCAGAGCCGAGGCCAGAAACAGGGTAGTAACCCTGGGGGTGGGATGGAGTGAGGGGGCTAAGGCTGGAATCACAACTGAGGGTGGAGCTGGGAATGGAGCTACAGCCAAAGGCTGAGTCTGGTGGCAGGAATGGAGTCACAGCTGAGCCCTGGTGGAAGCTGGCAACTTGGCCTGTGATGGGTGTTACTCTGCTCCTGTCCCCAACCCTGTCCCCAGCCTTGGCTCCAAGCCTGGAATGGAACCATGGCTTGGGACCAAAGCTGGGGACAGTGCCAAGAATGGGGCTGCAGTTGGGTGTGGGACGGGACGGTGCTTTTCCTTCCCATGGAGGTTGGCCCAGGCCTGCTCTATCCCCTGAATTTTCCTCCTCACTGCCCCCAGGAGGGAGAGGTGATCCACATTTTGCAGGCTTTTGTTCTACACTCTTATGCCTGTTAGACTTTCACGCTCTTATGACTTCATTCACCATCTCCATGTTGACTACTTCCAGAATAACCACACTTTCAGGCTACGTCTAGACTGGCATGATTTTCCGGAAATGCTTTTAACGGAAAAGTTTTCCGTTAAAAGCATTTTCGGAAAAGAGCATCTAGATTGGCATGAACGCTTTTCCGCAAAAGCACTTTTTGTGGAAAACCGTCTGTGCCAATCTAGACGCGCTTTTCTGCAAAAAAGCCCCAATTGCCATTTTCGCAATTGGGGCTTTTTTGTGGAAAACAAATCTGAGCTGTCTACACTGGCTCTTTTTTGCTCAAAAGTTTTGCGCAAAAGGATTTTTGCCTGAACGGGAGCAGCATAGTATTTCTGCAAGAAGCACTGATTTCTTGCAGTAGGAAGTCAGTGCTTTTGCGGAAAACCTGCCAGTGTAGACAGCTGGCAAGTTTTTTCTGGAAAAGCGACTGATTTTCCGGAAAAACTGGCCGGTCTAGACACAGCCTCAGTGTCTATTCCCACCTCTCATATAGCTCTTCCTGGATGTTCCGTTCCAAGTTTAAACTCAATGCAGTTAAATGTGATGCTAATTTTCCCTTCTCTCAACCCTTTTGGTAATAGTTGGAGATAATTTCACCATCTTCCAGGTAATCTAGGCTTACAAAATTGCTGTCACTATTATTCTATATAGTGTTGTAGGTAGCCGTGGTATTTCTCACAGAAAAATGAAAACATGGGGTGACATCCAGCCACATTGAAGTCGCTGGCAAAAATCCTATTGATTTCAATGAGGCCCAGGGTTTCACCCAGAGTGCCTACACCACTTACAATCTAGGTCATGTTAATTTTTTTCCCCTAACTAGTATTTGTGCTTCTGTTGGCTCCTGCTCGATTGTAAAACCTCTCTAAAATCCATCCTTTTCCTGTCTGCCCTTGATCATCCTGCCTTAAGTATTGGTACCACCTGTCAATTTACATCCCTCCAGCACATCCAATACTGTGCTTGCAAATTTATCTTCTTCTCCCACTGCTCGAACTGCCATGCCTCTGTTTGAATTATTTCCAAGGTTCTACATGACTCCAGACCCACTCACATCTTTACTTTTGTTTCTTCCATGCTGCCCCTCTGTTCCTTTTAGGTCGTCTTCTTGGTGGTTCCTTTTATATTCTTTTCCCTCCGTGCAACCATCTGAGGCTTTGAATAGCCCCCTTGATCTTTTGTGTGTCTGTCTCCTGTTCTCCTCTCTTCAGTAGCCCTTCTTAAAATACACTTCTCCGTGAATCCTTTCAACAAATGTCCACAAAACTTACCTTACCTTGCCTTCCAAACTCAAGGAAACCACAAGAAACATGCAGAAAAATTAGCTCTGCTGATCTGCATTGTGTAACAGGATGATGGGGAAGAAAACAAAAATAATAAGTGACTTTGTCCCAAGTGCAGGGCTGCGCACTGTCTTGTCTCATGCCCAGCACGCTCTGTTCTGATTTAGTGTCCAATTAAGTAGACACATAGGGCACAGGAACAATGGAAATTCTTTGTGTGTAGTGGCAGCAGAATCTGGTCCTGTGATCTTAAGCGCCAAGGAACCAGGGACCTTATCAATTTATTTATCTTCCTGTCAAGTCCCATTTAGACTAGTATTTCTATATTAACAGACTAAAATTGCTTTTAAGGGCGAAGAATGTCAGGTCAGTTTGGCTTAAAATGTAGATTCTGTAAAACAAAGTTTCACTATGTTTAACAATAGAATGCTCTGAATTAAAATATGATTTCTTGGAAATGAGTTAACAAAGATTTCCTACAGAAATTATAAATGGCACATTGCAGCATATGATAGAGCATGAAAACCTGCAAGTCAATCCATCAAGTCTATTTTCACTACCTACAGTGAGAGAAATGCAAAAGGTAAATAGTTCAATGAAAAGTAAACTTTTATTCTGATAACCTTATACCGTGCTTGTAATCAAGACAAGAAATTCCCTATAAAGCAGGGGTG